AGTTAGACTAAGAGGCTAAGAGGTGGTGATGACGGTGGGTTAGGGTCAGTCTTGGTTGCAGGGGAGAAAGGTACCTGAGACTGGGGTGCAGGACAGAGAGGAATGGTTCATCTAATGACATCTCACCACCGTCTGAATCCATCAGGGCAGGCAAGTCTCTGACAGCTGAGTCTTCTACGTCTGCTTGCCTCAAAGTCAAAGGTCAAGGTCGCTGTCTGCTGTACCTGATGTGGCTATTGTGGCTGGTGAGGAAGGCTGGGAATAGGATAGTAAGCTTGGCTGCTTAGCTTAACGCGTTTTCCTATCATAGAACCCTCAGTAGGCAGTCAATGTGCAAAGCCGCCCTAAACCTACATGCTGTTTCAAAATTAGTCCTATTTTCCTGTTAATCACTGCAGCTCTGGCAATCACAGCGAAAACCTCAGTCAACAGCTTCTCCAGTTCCCGGACGCCTTCCCTCGGGCCTTTTACAACCGCCTTCAGTTTGTTCGCTGCCAAACAATTCCCCAATGCTGTTTTCGATTTTCACCTCTTTTCTTTTCTTTTTAGTTCTACTACTTTATTGCTACCAACCCATCTCCCTCCACCCTCGGGCACACATGCTCAGTCATGTAACCCCATGGACTGCAGCCCGCCAGGCTCCTCTGTCCATGGACTTTTCCAGGCAAGAACACTGGAGTGGGTTGCCATTTCCTTCTCCACTGTCTTCCTTTTTTAAGGTGTAAGTAATGGATCTAAATTAAAATAGCTTAGATGTGCATGAAATAAAAATAAAAAGCAAGACTTTTCTCCCAAACTCCCCAGAGGTAGTGATTGTTGGCAGGTAGGTGTGTGTGTTTAGACCTTCCCCTTATGGCACACGGTGATACAGATACAGTGATTTTTTGCTCCCAGCTTAAAATTAACTAATTTTTTTTTCAACNCAATGTGTGAAAGTGAAAAGTGAAAGTGAAGTCGCTTAATCGTGTCCGACTCGTAGCGACCCCATGGACTGCAGCCTACCAGGCTCCTCTGTCCATGGGATATTCCAGGCAAGAGTACTGGAGTGGGGTGCCATTGCCTTCTCCAACTATCAAGTCTAGTGGCCTGAAATGCCTCAGTGGGGAATTCCCTGGCAGCCCAGTGGGTAAGACTCTGTGTTTCCACTTCAGGGGGCTTGGGTTCAATACCTGGTCAGGGAATTAAGAACCCGCGTGCTTTGGGGTTAGGCCAAGAAAAAAAACCTCAGCAGATTTTTACTCTGGCTGGTACCAGACACTATTGCTGTCACTCTTGATGTTGATTTCACTGCAGAGGGCACCCTCATCTTTGTTCCCAGCACCCCCTCCCTGTAATGGGGTATTGTCATTTTCTTCCTGTTGACCAGGAGAGAGGCCTCATGATCACCCTTCCCTGCCCTTTCCTGCCCACCATGGGAGCCATGCCCCCGTTTAGCTGTGCTTTGTATCTTACTGGTCTTGTTCTCTGAGGATCCGTGTGCCTGAACGGGTTTTCCAGAAAGCATACGCCATATGGTGTCCAAACAAAAGAGCCTGCATTTCTTCACGACTCCAGGCTGTCGTGATCAGCCACCAGGGGGCGAGGTGGAGCCACAGGATCTAAGAAGAGCTTTGTTTAGCGGTTAAGAGGTTTCTGACCGTTTGCAACCCCACAGACTGTATCCCGTGAGGCTTCTCTGTCCCTGGAATTCTCCAGGCAAGAATACTGGAGTGGGTTGCCATTTCCTTCTCCAGGGGATCTTCCAGACCCAGGGATGGAACCCACGTCTTCCTGCTTGGCAGGCAGGTTCTTTACCCACTGAGCCACCTGGGCAGCCCCTAACAGAGGAGGCCTTTTCTGGGGCCCCAGGTTGGAGGTCGGGGTGCCCAGCCCAGGTCCTGCACATGTCTGCCCCAGCAGATGTGAAGGCCAAACCTGAGGAAGTCTTCTGGTCAGTCCTGAAAAGTCAGTCGTGGGTCCCCAGAAAGGGAAAGACTGGAAGTTGCCCAGTGGCAGGTGTGGTGAGTGGGGGGGCCATGTGAACTCTGGGGGTTCTGCTGGGCTGCAGACAGCAAAGGGGCCCTGGGTGAAAGGGTGTGGGGGCACCCGGGCTGGTCTGAGGTCACTCCAGCATCAGGACCAGGTGGGCCCAGCAGCACCTGGCCGGGCCAGCACTGGCGCGCCTCCCGGATCCTGGTGAGAGCAGGGGCTCCTTCTGTGGTGTGTGGACAGGGGTCAGCCCTGCTGTGCGCGTGTAGAAGCTAAGGGCTGATGGCGGTGTGTGTCAACGAAGGACAGGGCTGGGTGCTTGCTAGGGAGCGGCTGAGAGCTGCAGGAGGGGTGTGAATTAGGGGTGGAAAGGGAAGCCAGGGGCCATCTGCTGGCCTGAAGAGGGGCTGGGGTAGTGGCAAAGGAGAGGGGAGCAGGAGGCAGTTTGCTGAGACTCTAGATTCCGAGGGAAAGCTCACGTCAGATACTAAGATCAGAGGGCAGCCCTGGGCATGGGGCGAAGCCACTGGTAGACAGGGAACTCTGGAGTGCACCTGTTAGGTGAAGCGGTCTTCCGGATATTTAAGTAAACTTCAAGTAGAACAAGTATGCACAAAATCACACAAGTTAAATTTAAGAATGTAACGTTACATTTCCAGCACCTCCCCAAAAGCCCCGTTTGAGGGGACTTCCCTGGTGGTCCAGTGGTTAATACTCTGAGCTTCCACTGCAGGGGGCGTAGGTTCCATCCCTGGTCTTGGAACTAAGATCCTACACGCCGCTTGGGGTACAGCTGGGATTTAACAAAAAGCCCACCCCCACGCCCCCAGACAGGCACTGGTCCTCCCAGTGGTAAAAGAACACAGCTGCCCATGCAGGAGACCCAAGAGACCTGGGTTCCATCCCTGGGTTAGGAAGATCCCCTGGAGGAGGGCGTGGCAAACCACTCCAGTGTTCTTGCTTGGAGAATCCCCAAGGACAGAAGAGCCTGGCGGGCTACAGTCCACAGGGTCACACAGAGTCGGACACAACTGAAGTGACTTAGCACACACTGCATTTGGAGATCTTCCCCAGTGCTCAGAAAGAGGCATACGTGCGGAACCAGACTTTGGTTGCCTACACCATGGAGGAGGTGATGTATGCGGACAGGGCCTCCGGGGTTTGTCAGTGATGGGACCCTTTCAGAGGCTTGTCCCTGTGGACACAGTAAGGTCTGAATAGCGCAGTAGCAGCCACGTGTGTGTGTCCAGGCTCACTGGTCCCACCTGCCCATCCAAGAACCAGATTTGAGCTGACAGGTGGCTCACTAGCTCCCTTTGCTTGGTAGACCCTGACTGGAGGATGCAAAGCTGTGAACTGATCATTTGGAAAATCGACGGGGCCCAGCAGCCCCAGGAGCCACACACAGGTCACCTCACCTCTCTGAGTTTCAGTTTCCCTCTCTCTGACATGGGGTTCATACTCACTGGGCAGAGCTGTCATGTGGATTAAAGCAGACTCTGATCCAGGGTTGAGCAGGTATCAAGTGCCATAAATGTAGCAATCTCGGGCTGCCAGGGCTGGAAGAACCTCAGAGGAGGGCATGCCCAGGTCCCCAGGGGACAGAGGGTGATGCCCCAGCCAACCAGTGAACACCAGAGCAGAGGTTAGAGCCTGACTCCTGAGGCTTAACCCTGTTTAGAAATCAATGTCAGGCCCAAAATGGAGTCTCTAGTGCTAAGCCGCACCAAACTGAGGTTTTAATACCTAACCTCTCGGCAGCTTCTGCCTCTCTCGGATCTGGGATGCTAAACCAGTCAGTCTGGAATTTCCTGGTCAGCACTAGTGACATACTCTTCCTAATAGACCTCATCTACTCTTTCATTTAAGAGGCCCCAGCAGTGAAAGAGCCGAGTCTCAACCGCTGGACCATCAAGGAATTCCTCATCAGCTCTCTCCTTGTTCCTGGCCCCTTCAGTCTTTGAAGGTCTCCGATTTTGTACAACTCTTTGGAACTCCTTTCTAAATACTTATTTCTTTCGGACCGTGCTTGGTCTTCGTTGGTGCACACAGGCTCTCTCTCGTTGCGGTGCACAAGCCTCTCATTGTGGGGGCTTCTCGTTGCAGAGCACAGGCTCTTGGCTGCCTGGGCTCAGAGGTTGCAGTTCCCGGGCTATAGAGCACAGGCTCAACAGTTGAGATGCAGCTGCTCCACGGCAAGTGGGATCTTCCCAGATCAGGGGTCGAACCCGGGTCTCCTGCCTCGGCAGGTGGACTCTTTGCCGCTGAGCCAGCGGGGAAGCCCTGGAGCTCCTTTCTACTTGCCAGGTGGGATGGTGCTTGACTCATGAATCCCTGAATAAAGCCAATTTGATTTTAGAATGGACTCGGTTGACTTCTGTTTTTGAGCAGTCCCAAGTGATCTTTTCCCCAAACTCCGGGGCCTCATCAGCTGCTATAATCCCCTCTGTGTCCTGCATGCCAGCCTGAGGTTTTGCCCTCAGAGGCTGGGGACAGGGCCCAGCCCTGCTGGCTTCCTCCTGCCTGGGGTGACGTGGAGGTGGGACATTGCCTTGGAAATCTCTGAGGACACTGTCATGCGCTGCCTGGCCACACCTGCTACAAAAGCAGGTCCTGGGTTTCCCTGGCTCCTGAGCCCAAGGACAGCTTCTGGGCTAACTGGCCCTGTGGTCTTGGTAAGTGGGATCCTCTCACAGGCTCCCAGGAACAGGAGTCCCCTGCTTGGGGCTTGGAGACGTGGGGAGAGAAGGTGGAGGAGGGAGGGGAAGGCAACTCGCAAATTACGGGCTTCGTAAGAGAGGCATGGCTGCCTCTAGGATCTGCACATCGACAGGGGGTCAGGGAGAGAGACAGAAAGGGACCCAGGGAGCCTGTGAGCAGGCACAGGGCGGGAGGAATCGACGCCCTAGCGCCCAGACTCCCCCTCCAGGTCCCCTACAAGAGAGGCAAGATGCGTCATCGCCCTGGACGGCCCCCTGGGAGATGAGGACCAGCCCCCTGACCATCACCCCTCTCCAACAGGTACCGAGGGACCCTCCTGTTCACAGGGGCCACTTCTGAAGCTCGGGACCCACTGGGTGGCAGCCACATCCAGGATGTCCACGCTGAGCATCCACTGCCTGAAGCCCTCGGCTCTGCGCCTGCCGTCTGGGATCCCAGGGTCCCCAGGCCGCCAGCGGCGCCACACGCTCCCCGCCAACGAGTTTCGCTGCCTCACCCCAGAGGACGCTGCTGGCGTGTTTGAGATTGAGCGAGAGGGTGAGCAGCCCCCCCGACCCCCCAGGGTCTGGGACTCTGCTGAACTCTGCCGCCGTTGCCCTGGGGGAGAAGACCCTGGAGTCCCCTGTCCTTGGCAGACAGGCCCCCAGAGTATCTGACAGTGTGTGTTTCTATGCGTGTGCAGGAGCACGTGTGTTTCAGGCGAGTTGGGGGAAGAGCAGCGCTGAATCCCATGCTTCCCAGGGGAGGCTTGGGGACCCGGGGAGCCCACCCAGCATCTGAGAAGATTTCTCAGTGGACGGAGGGTCACCCACTTGTGCTTCCTGACGCAGCCTTCGTCTCTGTCTCTGGCAACTGCCCCCTGAATCTGGATGAGGTCCGGCACTTCCTGACCCTGTGTCCAGAGCTGTCCCTGGGCTGGTTTGTGGAGGGCCGCCTCGTGGCCTTCATCATCGGCTCCCTGTGGGACGAGGAGAGACTTACTCAGGTGAGGATGGGGTGACCTGCCTGGTCCCGGGAAGGCCTCAGGAAAAGAGGTCACCACTTCCCATGGAGGCAGAAGGTGGGGGAGGAGCGGGAGGCGGGGATGTCTTCCTCCAGATCCAACACGGGAGCTCACGGTGGGTCCTCTCCTGGCAAGACAGCCCAGTCCTTTGGGGTCTCAAGACCCTCATGAAGGGGACCACAAAGGGGCTGGGGTCATAGCTCCTATTTGTGTAGAAGAGGGCCTGATTGGAGACTCTCGGGAGTGGCTGCTCTTGGCCCAGCGCGGGTGGTGTTGGGGTGCACAGAGGCGACCCTGACTCGTGTCCGTCTCTCGCCCCAGGCGTCACTGACGCTGCACAGGCCCGGGGGGCATGCTGCCCACCTGCACGTGCTGGCCGTGCACCGCACCTTCCGGCGGCAGGGCAAGGGCTCCGTCCTGCTCTGGCGCTACCTGCACCACGTGGGCGGCCAGCTGGCCGTGCACCGGGCCGTGCTCATGTGCGAGGACCCGCTGGTGCCCTTCTACCAGAGGTTCGGCTTCCATCCCGTGGGCCCATGTGCCATCGTCGTGGGCTCGCTGACCTTCATGGAGATGCACTGCTCCCTGCAGGGCCATGCCGCCCTGCGCCGGAACAGTGACCCCTGACCTGCTGCCTCCCGGGGAGCCCACGGTCAGGGGCTCCTACCCAATCCCTGGTCGGTCCCCTTCTCTATCCTGCCATTCTCCTGCACCGCTTGGTCTGAAGGGAGACGGTGATTCCCAGTGGATGGTGGAGAGGGGGGAATGGGTGAAATAAAGAGAAGGCGGGGCGGCTGCTCCCAGCCCGGGTGCCCTCCTGGGGCATAGTACTTCTGTGGTCTTCTCTGTCCACGCCAGTCCCTGCGGACCCCCTGCATCCAAACCGCGCGCACACGTGCTGGGTCTGTGAACTGGGGACAGTGGGAGGCATCCTGCAGCCTTGCTTCTGCATCACCAAAGGAGCCCCTATCCCCCCAGACCCAGGGCTGCCCCTTCTGGTCCTCATCCCTGGAGTGGGGGCAGCTGGGGGAAGGGTAGGGGCCACCTCTCAGCTCCCCCACACCCCAGCGCCTCAGGTTCCCTGCCCACAGTAACCATGCTTGTGCCCCATCGCGTGTGGGGTGAAGGGCTGGGGGGAGGTGCAGTGAAAGCCCAAGAACTGCTCCCCCACCCCCAGCACGGCTTCCGCCAGGCCCTCCACTCTGCCCAGCCAGACCCCTGACTCTCTCTACAAGCAGCTGGGGCTGGGGTACCGCGGGAGTCCAAGGATTTACCAGCATCGTCTCAGCACACCTCCTGAAACCCTCCAGGTGACCCCAACCTGGCTTCTGCCCCTAACAAATCCCTCGAAAGTCCCCCAAGCTTCCACAAATCCTTTGGGCCATGCCCGCCCCCTGCTCCTCATGGCTGACCCCTGCCACCCAACCCCCAAAGTAAAGTTCCAGCTTTTATTTTATTGAGGCCTCAGATCAAAAGTTAATCCTTTCTTAAAGAATATCATTTAATCCATTTCAGACATTGTCCATACAAAGTTAGCGTTACCTTAAAAAGTTAGGACCATGATATAAATTGGTTAAAAAAAAAAAGTCCTGATTGACCTTGGGCAACCCCTGGGCACAGGTCCACGGGGTGGCCCTGCTCCTTTCTTGGCAGAAGTGAGGCAGAGGGTGGGGAGCTGGTTGGCATCCGTCCAGCCCCACGAGGCTGAACACAGGGAAGGGCTGGCTGGGAGGGACTGGGGGCCCTGGGGTGGGCTGGTGGGTTCAGCTTCTGTTGGATAACAGCCCAGGCTCTCAGCTTCCCAGTCTAGCTGTGTCTCTTTGCTCCTCCTGTGCCCCACACCACGGCCAAAGCCTTCCCCCATGAGGTCTGGTTCAGGAGTGTAATGGGGAGGCTCACCGGGCCACTGATGGAAGCCAGGCATGGACACACAGGGCCGAGAGGGGAGGGGCAACGGGCAGGGGGCCGCGCCCAGGCAGGGTTGGTAACCCGGCGGGAACCCCAGCCTCATCCTCAGGAGGAGCTCGCTCACAGTAACAGGGCGGGGCGGGGACTGTACCAGTGGAGCCGGAGGTAGGGGCTGAGCAGCAGCCCAGGACCCTGGAAGAAAGGAGCACCCCCCCAGGAGGGGTCCCGACGGCCCGGCAGCGGGGGAATGTCAGGGCCTGGGCCCCGAGCTGCAGAGATGCACGGGCTCCGAGTGTCCCCCAGCCTGGGCCCGAGGAAGGGGGGCCTTGGCCCCCCGAGAAGCCTGCCTTTAGGAGCGTCTCCCCTCGGACTCCGTCTCTCCTGGGGGAGGGAGCTCCTGGGAGCAGGGCCGGCCCCATGGGGTCTCTGGGGTGTGTGGGGGGGCGCTGTGCAGGTGGACAGCTCGGTCCAGACACAGCCCCCGTGTCCTCCGAGGTGGGTGGGAGCAGCCGTGCTGGCCCCGCCGGGCAGGCGGTCAGTGTAGCACCTGGTCCAGCTCGTACTTCTCGCAGAAGCGGCTGGTGAAAGGGAAGCAGGTGAGGTACTCGACCCAGGGCCAGTGGATGGGGTAGACATACAGCCAGATGACCAGCGAGGCGAAGAGGCCGGCGAAGACCACCAGCGACACCAGGATGAGGGCACGCTTGCGGTACTTGTCGCTTGTGCCAAAGGTGATGTAGGGCAGGAAGGCAAAGGCCAGCAGGAGGCCGCTGAGGAAGCCGAAGATGTGAGCGATGTTGTCGATCCAGGGCAGGAGGCCGCAGATGAAGAGGAAGAGCACGATGGCGGACAGGTTCAGGAAGGCCTTCNTGCTCTGGGCAGCGCACGTGGCGGGGACAGACACTGAACTAGCCCGGAGTGTGAGGGGGAACTGACCAACAAACCCTTCTTTCTTAGCAAGAACGGCCACACGAGGGCGACTTCATAGGGCTCAGCCTGTAGCTAAGGGGCGTGCTGGCAAGTGGTCATGGTCACAGAGAGAAATGAAGCAGGAGTGGGGTGGGGTGGCCAGGAAGGTCTTTCTGGAGGTGATCTCTATACACGACCCAGGGGCATCGCTGCTCCCCTGTGCCCAAGAACAGACTAAGGAACTGGCCAGGAAGCCCCCAGATTAGCTGTCCCTTGACTGTTGAGCCTGAAATGGCAGGGGCTGTGTATCCCTCTGGCCGACCCGGGTTGGGTAGTGGTGGCGGTGGAGGGGGCGGGGAAGTAGCAGGGCTAGCCCCACCCCGCCCAGTCCCCAGAGGGCCCCAAGTCCCCACCTCCGCCCGGTATGGGAGGAAGAGGGCGCTGGCGAGGTTGCCGGTGATGCCGCTGAGGATGAAGATAATGGAGATGCGGTGCCAGCCAGCCAGCTTCTCCAGGTCACGCAGGATGGTCATTTGGAAAATCACAGACACGAGGCAGTGGATCACGCTGGGTGGGGACACATGGGCATCGGCTTCCGCCCGTGGCCACCAGCCAGGCACTTGGGGGGCACCGGGGCCCGGCAGGTTGTGCCTTGGCTCAGGGGCCTTCCTCCGGGGGTCCAGGTGGGCGGGCACCACGGGGGCCTGGGGGGCGGGCAGCGAGGGGCCTCTTACCCAGCGTGGAGGAACAGAGACAGCCAGAGCCTGTAGAACTGATCGGGGACCTCGGGGTTGAGGAAGGGCAGCAGTCCACACACCTTGTCCAAGCAGTGTACCTGGGGGCACACACGGCGGTCAGTCCCGGGGACCTGGCTTCGGGGGAGGCCCTGAAGTGGGGGGGTTGGGACCGGACACCTGCTGTGGGAGGGCGCGAAGGCTGCTCACCGTGCCCAGGGCCCCGCCTCACCTGGGAGCAGAGCGTGGCCTTCTCGTGGAAATAGCCATGCATGAACTCACAGTATTCCCGCGTGGTGATCTCACAGCTGGGGACGGGGAGGCAAGAGCGGACGTCAGGGGACTGAGTCCCAATCCCTCACCTGGTGTCCGGCACCTGGCCGCAGCAGGCATCGCTGGCAGGATGCATGCCCCTCTTCAGGGACCCTCATAGCATGGATGGAACGGGCAGGGAGGACAGAGCCTGGGAGGGGGTGGCAGAGGCGGCGCAGAGGGGCTCAGGCCCAGGACCCAGGCCGGCTCACCTGCCCTTGGTGCCGATGCAGCAGGGGCGGCCCCGGATCTGGCAGTCCATGTGCGGGAAGCCCGAGCGGTTACTCTCGGCCTGCTCCGTGCAGATCTGCCAGGAGGGGCACGGAGCGGGGGATGGGGCTGTGCAGCGGCCAGTGTGCCTCCCTCCCCTTCCCGGACCGCTCTCCTCCCCGCACACTCACCGGCCACTTGGTGATGTCGTCGGGCCAGATGTGGGCACCGCTGGAGGCCGGCTCCTCGCAGGTTCTGGAAGCAGAGGTTGGAGGGGGCAAAATGTGGGGCCTCAGTATCCCTAGCCTGCCACTCCCCCTGGCCAGCACCCCCAGCCTGCCACGCCCACCAGCCCCCCAGCCAGCCACGCCCACTGGCCAGGATCCCCCCCAGCTGGCCACGCCCCCTGGCCAGCACCCACAGCCTGCCACGCCCACTGGCCAGCACCCACAGCCTGCCACGCCCACCGGCCAGCACCCCCAGCCTGCCACGCCCACCGGCCAGCACCCACAGCCTGCCACGCCCCCTGGCCAGCACCCACAGCCTGCCACGCCCACTGGCCAGCACCCACAGCCTGCCACGCCCACCGGCCAGCACCCCCAGCCTGCCACGCCCACCGGCCAGCACCCACAGCCTGCCACGCCCCCTGGCCAGCACCCACAGCCTGCCACGCCCACCAGCCAGCACCCCCACAGGTGGCACCAACTACATGACACTCAGCCCCGCCTTCTCAGAGAGCTCAGCTGTGGGTACCTGGGGTCCTGGTTGCACACAGCCCCAGAAGTCCGCTTCTGGCCCATATCAGACTTGTCCATGGGGGGCCCCGTATCATCTTGCCACTTGACGAAAGTGGCCAGAGTCTCCTGGAGGATGGGGTAGGGGTGGTCATGGCGGGCTGGACAGGTCATGCCCATGAGCGGGCAGGGGCCCCTCCAGGGCAGGGGCTCATTCCCTGCTGTCCAGGTCTCTGGCTCACCTCCCAGACCCCCACCCCTCACTGAGACTCCCAGGACGCAGCTTTCACTTCTCCGGGGCTGGGGAGGTTGGTACCCTCCCTGTGACAGGCTGCCGACATTGGGTGTGAGCCCAGGGAGGGGGATGTGAGCCCAGAGAATGGGGTGTGAGCCCAGGGAGGGGGTGTGAGCCCAGGGAGGGGGGTGTCAGCCCAGGGAGTGGGTGTGAGCCCAGGGAGGGGGATGTGAGCCCAGAGAATGGGGTGTGAGCCCAGGGAAGGGGTGTGAGCCCAGGGAGGAGGGTGTCAGCCCAGGGAGTGGGTGTGAGCCCAGGGATCGGGATGTGAGCCCAGAGAATGGGGTGTGAGCCCAGGGAGGGGGGTGTGAAGCCAGGGAGGGGGGTGTGAGCCCAGGGAGGGGGGTGTGAGCTGACACTGGGTGTGAGCCCAGGGAAGGGGGTGTGAGCCCAGGGGGCGGGTGTGAAGCCAGGAAGGGGGGTGTGAGCCTAGGGAGGGGGGTGTGAGCCCAGAGAATGGGGTGTGAGCCCAGGGACTGGGGTGTGAAGCCAGGAAGGGGGGTGTGAGCCCAGAGAATGGGGTGTGAGCCAAAGGAGTGGGTGTGAGCCCAGGGAGGGGGCTGTGAGCCTAGGGAGGAGGGTGTGAGCCCAGGGAGGGGGGTGTGAGCCCAGGGAGTGGGTGTGAGCCCAGGGAAGGGGGGTTGTGAACCCAGGGGGCAGGTGTGAGCCAGGAACGGGGGTGTGAGCCTAGGGAGGAGGTTGTGAGCCCAGGGAGGGGGGTGTGAGCCCAGGGAATGGGGTGTGAGCCCAGGGAGTGGGTGTGAGCCCAGGGAGGGGGTTGTGAGCCCAGGGGCCGGGTGTGAGGCCAGGGAGGGCAGAGGAAGGATGGATGCAATGTGTAGACACCACCCTTGAAGGGCCCCTCCCCCAGGCTGGGGCAAGTGGAGCCTGTGTGGGGGACCAGGGTGGGCTGGCCAGGACTGAAGGGCCCACGTTCCCACCGAGCAGTCCTTCCTCTGGGTTTGGATGCAGCCCGAATGGTCGTTTTGGACACAGCAGCCTGAGTCCCGCTCCAGGTCTCGTTCCCGCAGCACGAGCTGCTCGATCTGTTGGTCCTTCCGGATGCAAGGTGAGAACTTGGCTCCCAGGTGGATCAAGTCGATCTGGGGAGGGGGCAGCCGGGGAGGGGGTTGTGAGCTCAGGCCCAGACTTGGCTGGAGCGTTCCTCCCGAGGGTCCCCCTGCTGAGGGGGGGCTTCCAGGTTAGACACAACCCCTTCTCTGCCCAGCTGGGGGTGACAGGGGCAGGGGGCTCCCTGCTGAGATGCCGTCCGCGCCTGGGCCCCTCACCGAGCTGGGGCCGATCCAGAAGTTCTCCTGCTGGATGTACTTCACGCTCTCATACACACCTTTGTTCCTGAGCACCTGGTGCAGGGGTGGAAGGAGGCAGGGTCAGGGCTTTCTCGGTCCCGGGGAAGGGCTTCCAGAAGGGGCTGGAAGGCAAAGTAGGGGAGAGCCCAGGGCCCCTCCCGCCTGGGTCGGGTTTGCGCCTCGGAGGGACTGGGTGGCCCAAGACAAGGAAGCCTCTTGGGTGGGAGGCTAGGATTCCCAGCATGGAGACCCCCTTCCCGAGCCCCACTCACCAGCTGCGTGGTGATGTGCTGGGCAAAGCCCACAGGCGCGATGCCGTACGTGCCGATCACCAGCAGCGTGATGATGACGTGGACAAAGGTCAGCCAGTAGGTGAAGTAGGGCCTGCGGGCAGGGGCCTTGGGTCAGCAGAGCCGGACTCACACCCTGACCCTCAGGCCTGCGACATCCAGCTGCTGACAGCTCTTACCTGCTCCCAACCCTCTGCTATCTTCTTAGACTCGTCCTTTACTTCCTAACACACACCTCTACGCCTTTCTCTCCCAGCTGAAACCCTCCCCGTGGCTTCTCGCTGCTCTGAGAATCAAGTCTAATGCTGCCCACTCCCGCTGGCTGCCAGGCCTTGCTGCGCCTGCCCACCTTCCTGGCCTCTTTCCTCTCCTCTTGCAGTTCTGGGAATGCAACCCATGCCCTGCAGCCGCGGGGCCTTTGCACATGACGCGTCCTTTGCCTGAGATGCTCTGCCCGTCTCTCTTCACCCAGCTAATCGCTGCTCCTCCTGACCACACACCTCCCCACCCTCTGTTCACTCCCTCTCTGTCCTCCTTCCCCGGGACACACTCCACACCTGCTATCACTTAATTTTCTGTGATCTGGGGTTCAGTATCTATTAGGTTGCTGCTAACTGTACACAGAAAATGGCCTGTTCGCAATCCTCTGGCTTCCCCCAAGGTCTACACAGTCCCTCTCCACAGGCCCCTCACTCGTGGTCACCGCTTCTAACCACCCCTCTGATCCACCCACCTGCCCTGCTCTGTTGTCCCAGGGCCTGCGTAGCACTGAGTGAACGCTTGTTGTCTGGGACCCAGGGAGAAAGCGGGCCCAGAAAACAAGAAGAGGCAGTAACACCCGACGACTCCTCCCGGGAGACGGGCATGCTCGCAGGGTGACCCCCGGGACTGTCCCTGCTCCCCCGGCACATAGGAGGTGCTCATCAAAAGCTCGTTGAACAAGAAGGGATGCTCCGGGAGAGGGCCCGGGGGGATCTGGAGGCCCCGTGGTCCCACCTGGGTGGCTCCCAGCCCCTCTCCCTGGGCCTACTCCTGGGAGCAGCCCTCCGGGACAGTGAGCACCCCCAGGTCTCGGAGTGGCGGCCTGGCCGGCGGCTCACCGGTGGCTGTCGAAGTTCTCCAGCTGCCGCTGCACGGTGCTGCTGATGCTGCGGCGGTAGGTGCGGTTCAGCCAGGCGCCCACCACGCCCAGCCCGTAGTGCCGCTTCTTCCGGTCGAAGGCAAAGTGCTTCACCTTGGAGGCGATGCGCTTGCCGCGTTTGGTGGGGGGCGCCGGGGCTCGGCTGGACTCCTTCCTGGTGAGGACGGCAGTCTCAGCCGGGTACCCTCACACCCTCCTTTCCACGAGGGGGGGACCAGGAGGGACCTGTGATCTGGGGAAGCCCTCCACACCCCCCCACACCCGGGGCCGTTATCACGCTCCACTGGGAGGACTGTCCGGAACTCACAGGGGGACCTGCTCGGGGGAGACAGGGGAGGCCGAGTGCGGAATCCCCCGGAAGTAGCTGGCGGAGAGTGGGGGCGACTCAAACACGTCATCGGGCATGGAGCTCATTTCTTCCTGGGGTGGGGGTGGAGTCAGGGACACAGAAAGAGACAGTGTGAGGAGTCACTGTCTCCCGCCCTGCCCCCCCAGCAGCTCAATTCAAGGGCAGGACATCGGACAGGCTCCCGGGGAGGGAGCGAGGGGAAGGCACATGTCTGTGGGCCCTGATGGTGACTCTCCTGGCTGGCACCTGCCCCATCCCAGGCCCTCACTCTGCCAACAAAAGATGGGAGGGCCCGGGAGCTCCGAGAGGTGGCACCCCCATCCCACAGACGGGCCTCTGGACATCTGAGGGGCTCCCTGCAGAGCGCGATGGAGGCCAGGTCTCTTCCCCCAGCTCCCGCCCACCCCAGCCCCCCGACCCCGAGGGCCCACACACCCATGCTTGCCTTACTAAAAAATGAGGAGTCGAATGTCTCCGCCCCATCAACCACGTCCTCCTCCAGAGAGCTGGGGTAGGCAAAGCTGCACTTGACCACCCGGCTCCGCTGTCCCGTGGCCTCCAGCACTGATCGCCCCTGTGTGGGGCAGAGGCACGGGTGTCAGGCCCAGGGGAGGTGGTCCTGCCCCAGCACCAAAGGGGTGTCAAGGCCATCCGCCCGGGGAGGTGGGACCCTGCGCAGAGCAGGAGCGTCTGGGCTCCAGCTCCTCCCCTGGCCTGTACACAGCACTCTCTCCGCGGCTGGCTGCCAACTTCTCCTGGCGACCTCCCGCCCTTGGGCTTGGGTACCGGGCACCCCACCACTCGCCCTGCACCCTCACTCCCATGGTTTGGGCTTCCCGGCACAGCACATGGGGCCCCTGCTAACCTTTCTGATCCCACCTCCCACCATTCCTTTTGTGACCACCCTTCCCCAAAACTACCTGCTACTGCCTCTTACCCCAGGCCTCGGCATAGGCCGTTCCCTCTGCGGAGAATGCTATTCCCTTCCCGGCGAAACTTTCTTTGTACCTCCCAGCTGCCGTCTCTGACAGCAGCCCCTCTCCTGGGCAAGACGGGGCAGCCCCTCCTCTGGGTGGGCCCCGGCATCTGTCACGCCGCATGGTGACATCTCCCCTCACCCGAGCTGAGGGCTCCTCCAGGGCAGGGACACTGGCTCAATTCTCTCTGCGATGCCCCCGTGCCCAGCACAAAACGGGGGCTCTGCAAACATGGGTCAGGGAGCAGCGACTCTGCATTTCACTTCCTACTTCTCCCGCCTATGTGTTGGTACAGAAACCAGCTGCCCACACTAGGGAGAAGCGGGGCTAGAAGGATGTGGGTGAGTCTGCCTACTGGGCTGCAGCCCCCTTCTCCACCCAGGGATCCCAGAGCAGCCACTGCCCTGGCACAGACGGAAGTGCCTGGGATGGGGGAGAAAGGGAGCAGGCCGAGCAGCGGTGTTCTTACCTTAAGCAAGGCTGCAGCAGCTTGAAAGCTCATGTGGGCCACAGAGATCCTCTTGCGGCGGGGCAGGTGGGAATAGCCGGAGCGGACACTGGTGAAGGAGGTGAGGGAAAGGACCCCGGGGGTCAGCGGTGGGTGCGGGGCATGGGGCCGGTCCACCTCGTCTGGGTGGCGGAATGCCCGTCCTCGGGCCAGGGGGTCCACGATCTGGATGGGAGGGAGGCTGTGAGCAGAGGCCGCCGGGAGCTGGGCCGAGTCCCCTGGTGCCCCCGCCCCCGGCTGGAGCCCACCTTGGGCATCTTGCAGGGCTTTGGAGACTCGGTGTCCTGGAAGGAGGGCACCTCTTGACTGGGGAGCTCCAGGTCCCGCTGGCACGAGGCCTTGAGCCGGCCGTAGCGCACGCTGCAGTGGTGAAGGCTCCGGCGCTGCCAGTGCTGCCGCTTCAGTTCCCAGTCTCCGCTGACCCCGAACCACTGGGCCGCGCCCCTGCGGGGGCAGACAGGGCACAGGGCGCGCGTCACCATGGCGGTGGGAGCAAGACAGGGCGCGTGTGTGCAGTGGGAGGTGACAGGACATGTGTGGGTGCAGCGGGGGGTGGGGAGGCAGACTGACAGCCCCCACTCAGTGTCCAGAGACTGGATGGACAGAGGAGGGGGAATAAAGGCCAGGGCCTGAGAGCTGAGCTGGGGAGGCCCCGGGAGCTGCAGCGTGGCACAGGCTCACCCCCAGCTTCTTGACCCCCTGCAGCCTCCTTGCCAGGTCTTCTTGCCAGGCACAAAGCCGCCTGGGCCTCAGTTTCTCCGGCCTGGAACATGGGCTGCCTGTCCACGCCTCCCGGAAAGGGGCTTGGGGCCCCAGAGTGTCGGAGTCCGTCGAGTGGTGGAGGGGGTGTCTGCTGGGTGGGGGGCATGTTGGCAGGGCACGCATGCTCACTTGCGGATGCTCTGGGACAGGGAGGCCTGACGGCGGAAGCCAGGGCGCTTCTCCGGGCTGCCCTCCTGCCATCGTCCTCGCGGCTCCTGGAGGCTGACGCTCTTCAGGAGGCCTGGGTTCTTGGGCCTCTGCCCTCCGGGTTCCTGGAGGCGGGAGGGGGAGACAGGCTGTGACTCCACGGAGACCCGAGCTCCACCCCCAGCTGCCTCTGATCTGGCTCCCGATGTGAAAACCTGGACAGGACAAACCTTGACCCCAGCTGACCCTGAGCCGCTTTCTCATTCTGAGGGTCAGATGGGCCCTTTTCTAGGGTGTTCAGGAGCCCAGCACTCACTTCCACAGCTCCCCATCCAGAGCTCCGTCTCTAGGTCCTGGCCGTGGCTAAGCCATAGGCTGGCCCGGCTTTGCGTGTTGACAGTGCCCTTGGCTGCGTGGGTGGCACGAGACGGCCTCCCTGGGGCCCCGGACTGTATGGGCGCCCACGCTGTGAGCAGCGGGTTCTCAATGGACTCTTTATGGAGTGCTGGTCGGGATGCTGGCAACGGTGATTCATCCCTGTCTTCCTGCACGAGCGGAGCTCTGCGAGTCGGGGTGTCCCTTCCCGAGTCACAGACAGTCCACCGCCCGCAGAACGGCCGGGGCTGGCGGGCTTCCCTGGTGGTCCAGTGGCTAAGACTTCGTGTTCCCAATGGAGGGGACCCAAGTTCAACCCCTGGCCAGGAAACTAGATCCTGCATGCTGCAACTAAGACCTGGCACAGCCAAATAAAAATAAATAAACAAAAGAAGGGACTGGGGCTGGAAACAGCTGATGCCCGAGCGGGACTGGCAAGAGTTTCCTATTTTCCCTGGCCGGCCATGAGACTGAGGTCTTGAGTTCAGGAGTCACTCCCAGTGACATTGGGGGCCGGGAAGGAGGGGGTGAAGCCTATGGCAGGGGCTCCAGCAGGTTCCGGAAGGGCCCCCTTCCAGGAAGTGGAACTGCCCTAAGGGTCCCGGGGGCACAGCGGGGGCCCCTCTTACCTGGGGCAGCATGCTGGCCTGCTCGCTGGGGGCCGGGGTCTCGGGCGGAGGGATGGTGATGGACAGGTTGGGCGGCTTGCGGCTCTGCAAGCGGCTGCTGGACACAGAGGAGACCCTCGCGCCATTCTTGTCATCGGAGGCCATGGTGGGCGAGGGGGCGGGGCAGCTGGAAGGGAAACGGAGGGGGCACAGGTGTATCGTCAAGAGGCGGCAGGACGGGGCGGGGGGACACGGGGACAGTGCAGGGTGTCAGGGCGTGCCACGCGGGCAGCCCAGATTGAAAACCCGTGGACAGTTGGTTCAAACCCGACTCCGGATACTAAACCACGCAGCAGCACAGAGTTGGGCTGGGTGGGGTGAGAAGGTCTATTTTCATCCTTCATTTGCATTCTGGGCTAGCAGGAGCCTGGGAGGTCCCCCACTTGTCACCTCCTTCCGTTTCTGGTCTCTGCTTTAGGCGAGGACCACGCCCAGAAAGGAAAGTGAGGACCAGGGATGCAGAGCGGCTGTGATCTTGGCCTGCCCATCAGTCTGGCTAGAGCAGGCCAGGGGGCCAGAGGGCAGATTCCTTGGACAAAGGGCCCTGCCTTTGTCCCTGGGGCAGGGTTTGGGGAGGACGGGGAGAAGGCTCCAGGCCGCCCATAAACAAGGGACCCGCAGCCGTGCAGGGAGTGGGTGGTTCTCACAGAAGGAATCCCTGGGCTGAGAGCGAGGAAGGGAAGGTCCAACCTAACTCCTGGGAACATGAGAAAGCCACCGGGCTAGTCCCTGTCCCCCTGGACTGCCAAGTTCCTCTTTCAAAAGTAAGTGAAACTGCCATCTGTCTGTTACTCTTTTCTTTTCACAAAGGAAGAATATTACATCTTAATGACAAAAATGATACACGAGGATTGCAAAAGAAAAACACTCAGACGACTAAAGAAAAAAGTGAACTGCTGGCCCGCCTGTCACCCCGTGTTCCAGGAAAGAGCTTGGTGTGCACATCTCCTGGTGCTTTTGTGTGCCTGGAAAAGGACACAGTACTTAACATTTCACTGTTGTTGTTTACTTGCTAAGGCGTTCCGACTCTGAGACCCCACGGACTGTAGCCCACCAGGCGCCTCTGCCCATGGGATTTTTCCAGTCAAGAATACTGGAGTGGGGGGCCATTTCCTTCTCCAGGGGATCTTCCCGACCCAGGGATCAAACTTGTATCTCCTGCACTGGCAGGCAGATTCTTTATCACTGAGACGCCAGGGAAGGCCACTTAACACTTTACATGCACTCATATTTCTCTGTCAGTGCAGACAGACAGGTCTACCTGATCTGTCTTGAAGACTGGGAAGGTTTCTAAGAATGGAATGTACCAAGATTTACTTAACTCCAGCCTGATGGTAGCTTAGATTTGTGTCCAGTGTTAAGGAACACCCTTGCCTATATCACGTGTGTTATGCCATGCTACACTGCTTCAGTCTTGTCTGATTCTCTGTGACCCCATGGACTGTAGCCCACCAGGCTCCTCTGTCCATGGGGATTCTCCAGGCAAGAATACTATTGGGTTGCCATGACCTCCAGTGGATCTTCCTGACTCAAGGATTGAACCCATGTCTCATGAAACTGCGTTGGCAGGCTCTTTACCACTAGCACCACCTCCGAGTTTTATAACAAGACAAACTTAGAAGGGGAACTACTGGACTGAAGAAAAGTGTGTCTTGAATTTCAGAGGAACTTTCCAAATGGCCCAGCCAGGAGGAAGTAGCAATTTACCCCCACCTGGGGCTTTTCCATCCTCACAGGTGACACTTGACTCCCACACCCTCTTTGACCCAACAGAACGAACACCCTCTGACCTGACTAGTCTCTCCATTTCACCTCTCACTCTGCCTTGTGACCTTTGTCTTGCTAAAATCCTTTGCTGTTTCCTCTCCTTGCATCCCAAGGCTGCTGGGGCAGGTCTGATTTCCCTTCCCTCACATCCATCTTCTGATCGGGGTGGGGACACATGTGGCCAAGGTGCTGGATGTCAGGGCAACGCAGCGGACACCTTTGTTTCGAGTCTGCCTTCTTTCCCACCCCTGCCCGGCCCCCAGGTGAGGCACCATCGCCTCTCACCTGAAGGGTCCCAGCAGCCTCCGGACTCCTCTTGACCTGCTGCCCCCTCGAGCCCCCACCCCAGGACCATTTTCCCCTAGTGGCAGAGTTTGCCTTTTAAAAGCACAAATCATACCATGCTCAACACTAGGCCAGGATCTCCAGTTCTCACTTAAAACCAAGTCCAAACTTCTCACTGGAGCCGCTGGGCCCCTCGTGCCTCCATCTCCTCCTTGGTACCCCCCCTCACCCCAATCAGGCCATATGGGGTCCCTCACTGCCCCACACCTGCCAAGCTCTATTAGGAGGTGCTGGGGGTTCATGGTCAAAAGCACAGACTGGAGCTGGATGGCCTGGGGCTTGACTTGCGTCTGATCACTGGTCACCTAGATCCTCACCTTATGGGGGGAATAACCCCCTCCCCTAAAGAGACATCCTGGGTGTCACACGACTGCACGCATGACACGTACTTAGGCAGCACGGCCACAGACAGTTGTTCTGGAATGTTCACAGCGCCACGTTCACTGGAACTCAAAAGGTGGAAACAACCCAAATGTTCATCAAAATACAAGTGGAAAAGGGGAGAGATAAATTAGGAGCTTGGGATTAACATATACACACTGCTATACCTGCGGCTCCCTGTGGCATAAAGGTAAAGAATGCTCCTGACAATGCAGGAGACTCATGGGACAAGGGTTGAATCCCTGGGTTGGGACAATCCCCCGGAGAAGGGAATGGCAACCCACTCCAGCATTCTTGCCTGAGAAATGCCATGGACAGAGGAGCCTGGCAGGGTTGCAAAGGGTCGGATATGACTGAGCACACACCCCTTCCTTCCTTCCTCACTACTATATATAAAATAGACAATCGACAAGGACCTACCTATAGCACAGGGAACTCTGCTCAGCATTCTGCAATGGGTCTTCCCCGGTGTCACCGTGGATAAGAACCCACCTGCCAAAGCAGGGGACACGGGTTTGAGCCGTGGTCCTGGAAGATCCCACACATCGCGGAGCAACTAAGCCGGTGCACCGGAACTTCTGAGCTTGCACTCTAGAGCCTCCGAGCCACAGCTATCGCGCCTACACGCTGCAGCTACTGAAGCCCGTGTGCCTGGAGCCTGTGCTCTGCCATGAGAGGAGCCACCGCAAAGAGAAGCCCGCACGCCACAACGGAGAGTAGCCACTTCTCTCCACAACCAGAGAAAGCCCGTGAACAGCAATGAAGACCCAGCATAATTAAAAAAAAAAAAATTCTGCAATATGGGAAAAGAACCTGAAAAAGGATAGATATATGTACGTGTATAACTGAATCACTTTGCCGTACACTTGAAACTAACACAACATGATACATCAACTATACCCCAATATAAAATAAAAGTTTTTTAAAAAGTGTACTATAATCTTTGGGGGAAATAAAACATATAAATGGGTAAACAAAATGTACTAAATCCACACAAGGGACTATTACTCAGCCACGAAGAGGAATGACTCGCTGAGCCAGGCTAAACACAGATGAACCTGGAGCACGTTAGGCTAAATGAAAGAAGCCAGACACAAATAGACCACATACTCCAGGGGTCCAAATGCAAGTCCAGAGGAGGCAAATCCAGAGACAGAAGAATGAGTCATGGCTTAGGGCTGGGGGTGACAGCTAAAGGATGGGGATTTCCTTCTGAGATGATGAAAATGTCCTAAAGTAGATGAATTTTACATGAATTGTATAAATCAAATGTGAACTATACCTCAGTAAAGGCAGTTAAAAAAAAAAGTTACAAGTACGTGCTCCATAAACGTTGGGCCTCTGGCTGGGACCCTGCCGGCTCTCCCCAGATTAGATTAGCACTTGCGCACAGCATGTGGCTCCTTCTCTGGTCCCAGTTTGAGCACCACCTCCTCCAAGGAGCCCTCCCTGACTGCCTGAGGCAGCACCCCTCCCACCCCATGTGTCTCTCCATCACTTCACCCTGCTTGTCTCCCTCTTTCTGCCTTATTCACAACTGCATCTTTACCGTCAGTGGAGTGCTGGCCCATGGGTAGCATCAGTACAGACTTGTTGAAAGTCAGATAAGCAAGCAAGGAAAGCAGCTGGTAGCTGGGGTCCATGCCACTCGGCTACCCAGCTTCCTACCTTCAGGCTGTGGGCTGAGCTCGCAGTTCCCTGGGTCTTGTTGCTGAGGACTTTAGAGCATGTTCTAGTCCTTTCCTCACTCTCCAGAGATGCTCTGGGGTCAAGTCCCAGCTCTGTGGAGAGGTGGCTGGATGCAGAGACAGATGGAAAGACAGACAGATGACTCCAGGTCAGGCAGGGTCGCTTCCTTGGTGCTCACAGCCTGTAAAGGAAGGGAAGGCAGGCTCAAGGGGGTATGTCAGGACCAATGCATCTTTCCATCTTCTTGACCTCAGTCTTCTCATCTATAAAACGGGGATAATTCCACCAGCTTCAAAGGTGGGGGATTAAGAAATAACCCCCTCTTCTTCACCCCTTGTGGTGATGAGCTAGGTTCTTCAGGGCGCCCAGACGCCAGGGGCCTCTGGGCGTGTACCTAACAAAACCACACAAAGACCCGTGCTCTGGGCTGGGAACCATAATCAATACGCTTCCTACTTTCTTTTCTTGTTTCTAGAGAACTTTACTAGAAACACTGAACTTTTAAAAATGCAGGCATTATTGGCTATCTTCTGATCAAGATTTCTTTTCAATTAGACAAAGCCAGATATCCAAGGCAGTGTTTAAAGGATTCAGACATGTTTTGCTGTCGTTTCGGCTCTTTAACAATTAGTTTAGGTGAAATCTGGGCCTGCAATGCAGGAGACCCAGGTTCAGTCCCTAGGCTGGGAAGATCTCCTGGAGAAGGGAATGGCTACTCATTCCAGTATTTTTGTCTGGAGAATTCCACGGACAGAGGAGCCTGGTGGGCTACAGTCTGTTCGGTCACAAAGAGACACAACTGAGTAACTAACACACACACACACACACACACACACACCATAAAAGGATTAAAAAGTGAACAACGCATGGGACTTCCCTGGTGGTCCAGGGGTTAAGACTGTGCTTTTGCTGCAGGGAGTGAGAGTTTGATCCCTAGTTGGGGAACTAAGATCCCACATGCTGTGTGCTGCGGCCAAACGAAAAGAAAAAAAGTAAACAACTTGAGGGCGTGCCTTTGTTTCTGAGAAGTCCTGCATAAGGGACACGCTGGTGTAGCAGAGTAGGGGCCCCTTGATGGAGCCCCCGAGGGCCGCTTGGGGCAGGGCCAGGTCAGGGCCCCAGGGGTCCGGGTCTTGCCTGACCCTTTACGTGCATTATCCCACTCAGTCCTCGAAACTTGCTTCGAGGTAGATGTTATCAACTATCATTCTGTGGATAAGAATGGAGGCTCAGAGGGGTTGAGTACCTTGCCCAAGCTCACACAGCCAGGATGGGGAGCAGCTGGGGCTCAGGCTGCTCTGCCTACAGGGCCTGAAGTCTCTTTGGAAACAGGCGCCTCTTCTCCCTAAATCTGGAGTACACTCGGGGCCAGAGAGCCTCCTATCAGGGAGACAGAGCAGAGTCCAGCCTGGAGAGAAACTTGGTTGAACATCTCAGCACTTTGCAAACTGTGCTCCTCAGCGGCCTGGGGTCACCAGAGGTGCCCAAGGGGCTGCCATGGGGTGAACTGGAGGCTGGGGGAGGGCCTGGGACCCCCTTGATTCCACAGGGCAGCAGTCCTCTGGCTTTGAGCAGGGCCTTTCACTTCCAGTCCTATAACTGCAGATGAGAGGAGCTCGGTATAGAAGGGGTGCCAGAGAGATATCTGAGGCCCAGCTGGGGGCCCAGGATGCTTCCTGCTTAAGGCTTGACCAAGACTTGGGCATCCTTCCTGCTATCCCACGTGTAGGGAGTTCTGACCCACACCCCAGGGCAGAGGGGCTGTCAGCAGGCACCTCAGACTCCACTTGGCACCACTCAAGGGACCGCTCCATGACAACAGCCTCACCTGGGGCTCCGGCACGGAAACTTCTCCTGCTGGGCCGCCCTGGGACCAGGGTGCGGTGAGAGGGCACCAGGCGGGCACCGCCCTGGGAAACTGGCACCAAGGATGAGGGGAGGCAGTGGGGGAAGCTGGGGGGAGTCTGGGGCTGCCCGGCCTGAGCTCAGTAAGGTCACCGAATAGGTCGGGTCCCTTGGTGACTCGGAGCTCCTGATGAGAAGAAGCGCAGACTCAGTCCAGGGCTGGGGGAGGAGGGGAGACTGGACCCACCCTGGGGAAATCCTAGCAGTCCTAAAGAGAAGTGGCCAGTCCCGGAGAGCAGAGGCAGGGCGGGGGCGCATTTCCACATGGAGCCATTTAACTGTCCTCGTAGGGTGGTGCCCAGAGCCTTGGCCTGTAAGCAGCGTGACCTCCACAGCCTCAGTTTCCTTCTCGTTAAGCAAGGTGGTTGGACAAAATGATGACCTGCCATGACATCCTCGAGCCCACATATTGGGCATAAAAACACCACTTTGCCTCAGTCACTCTCCCCCTGTAGAGGGGGTGTGCCCCAGCTGATGCAGACACGGGGCGCGGGGGTACCAGAAGCCCAGCCCCTGCCTCTGAACTTAGGGAGGGAGGAGCTGGGGGTGGCAGGTGTCTGGGGTAGATTCAGGGGTCGTGGACAGCTCTGGGTGCCTGCCATAACCCAAGTCTAGGGCGTGGAGGGGCCCAGATGGCAGAAAAAGTGCTGGAGTGCTGGGAGCGCCCGCCCCACCCAACGCTTATCTCCCGCGCCCCAAAAGTGCTTGCTCATTGCAGAGGAAATTGTGACATCCTGGGACCAGGCTTCCTCCTGACCCAGTCACATCCGCTGCTCTCTGAGACCCCCCCAGGCCTGCTGCAGCATCCAGCCCACGGATCGGGGGCGGGGAGGTTTGAGGGCCTGACCCACCTGGCTGGACCACTGCCACCTGACTATAAAAATTCTGGCCTTGGTGGGAGCCTGTTCCAGAAAAAGGCCTTCAGTCCCAGGGTACCCAGGAGACACCAAAGGGGCCTGGGGAAAGGACGGGGGTCCAGCCTGGAGTAGGGGGGTACATCCCCAGAGCAAGTGCAGTACAGAGTTCAAGTCACCCCAAGGAACATCCAGGGTCTGAAACCCCACCACCTCCACGCCCAGAGGCATAGCCTGGGATCAGACACACACGGCAGAAACGCAGACTCAGACACTGCACGCTGGTTTCGCCAGGGAATCCGGTTTCCCCACAGGGTGGGGCCGTGCACCGCCAGCTGAGCCCCGTCCTGGCAGCCACAGCCAGGGCAAGCCAGGCCTCCCCACAGTGGGCAGGTGCCCCCTCCCCAGGCTGCACGGGCCCGCCGTCCCCTCCCCACCTGCCCCCAGGTGTAGCTTCATCCCTGGGAGTCTGACTCTGGTGTCCTGTTTCTCTCTCCACCTGCCCAACTCCCCCTCCGCCCCGACACATCAGCAGGTTTCTGAAGCCACCCCCGGGTCTTGCTCAGGGTGGATGAATTCTCCACACCCCCCGGGGCTCTGAGGACCTCCCGAGCCAGAAGCAGGCAGGGCAACCTGACGCACGACTCAGCCTGCGTGTGGCCCGACGTGGGGACACAGGGGAGGGAGGGGGCCCTGGGAGGAAGGGTGAGCAGCCCCTCCTCCCAGGGGCTTTCTGAGCCATGAGATAAGGTCAGGAAGGTTAGGGGATCCCCCAAAGCGAGGGCCTCAGGCCCCCCAAACAGGAAGAAGAAACCACCATCTGGCCCAGAGGTTCCCCCCAGCTGGTGGCGGGCAGGCAGTCTGGAGGGAAGGGAGGCGGCCAGGCGGCTGGGTCCTGCCTGTCCCCCCCGCTGAATCACAGGATGTCGGGGTGGGGGCGGGGGGCAAGGAAGTGGCCTCTCCCCCCTCCTTGCTTCCCTGTCACAGAAACCGAAACCCGCTTTTTTCCTCCCCACAGCCGTTCTGGGAACCGGGTCAGTTTTAGAAAGCGGCAAGGAGGAAGCAGGCCCTCAGGCAGTGTGCAACTTCCCAGCGAAAGCCCTGGTTCTGCTGAGCTGGGGTGGGGGCCGGCGGGAAGCGGGGGGTGCTCTGGCTGCCGCAAGGCCTGGCAAGGGGCAGCTTATGTAAAAGGTGTCACCTGGCCGGGCTCCCTACCCGTGGCCCCACGCTGGCCCAAGCAGCCAGTGACTCACCCTGAATCCTCCCTGTCCTGGCAAGAGTGAGTGCGAATAGGAGAGCCTGGCAGGAAAAGAGCCAAGACGGCCAGCTGAGCGTCGGACAGGATCAGGGAGACCGAAAACGGCCAGATGCAAAGGGAGGGAGGCAAGTGTCCCAGGTGGAGGCCGCAAACCCCACCATCGGAGTTAGAGGAATGGGGAGGGGATGCCCATCTGTCTCCAGAGGCCAGCGGGAGCCCTCCCCAGGAGCCCCTTCCTCCTGGCAAGTACCCACTTCCCCAGGGGAGCCAGCTGGCAGACTTACTTCACAGGACGCCCTTCAGCCCAGCTCCCCCCAACAGACAGGAAAAATGAAACCACTTGTGGGTTGGCACCCCAACCACAGGGAGAGGCCCCACTCACAGAGGGCCCTGGCCCAGGGAGGCCCGGATTTATCCTGCTTGTTGCTCAAACTAGAGAAGATAAAGAACCTGAGCGCAGGTTCAAGGACCTGGTGACCTTCCCCATCCGAAACCAGGCTCGGGTTCCCCGTGACCCAGTTGGAGAGGCTTGGGAGTCACGGCCGACCACAGACACAGGAAGCGGGCGCCGGGCTCCAGGCTGCTGCCAAGAATGTGTAGGGGCGAGGAGGACAGGTTGCCGTGTTCCCAGTCCCCACCCTGTACCACCTGGAGGTTTGCTCAGGACCACACACCACTGGGGGGCTGGCTGGCAGACATGTGAATGCCCCATTCCCTGTGGGGACCCCAATTCCAGAAACCAGCTGGAACTGCCCAAGCCCCACGGCCCCCCATCCTAAGGTGTGGGCCACTGTTGGTAACATGCGGGGACAGGCATTATCGGGAGAGAATTGCCACCAGATGGCCCCAACCGACCACGAGGCTGGGCCCTGTCCACCACGGTGCCCTCCCCGAGGCCCCACTGGGAATCCCTGGCCTCCAGGAGCTGCTGATGGAAGCAGACCAGGGGCAGCAGCTGGGCAGAGACCTTCCAGACCTCAGACAAGTCACAGCCTCCAGCGGCTGGGGGCTGAAGGCCGCTCAAGGACAACGGCGGGAAGGGATGGAGTGGCTGGTCCTGGGATGCTCTGCCTGGCAGCCTGGCCTCCTCTGGGAAGGTGGTCTATTCCCTCCTGGTTCTGTTGTTCCCGGAGCACAGCCAGAAGGCTCTGGTCCATCCAGGCT